TTGCTGCTGTTTACAAGAAAACCGAGTTGAGGGAAAGCAATTAAGAGAATTGTTTCTGGAATTTTTCACAGCACAAATAACACAACTGAAACTTTTGGCAAATTTTGTGTTTGAACCTCTTTGCAACAAGGAAACTGGAGCTCTGATAAAGTTTCCTAATTGCTGAAGGAATGAAGATGAAATAGATCATTCTGGAATGTGGTGCCCTATGTAATAGGGAACTGTGAGGGTTTATTTCTAGGAACTTCTGAGTGAAACATTACGAAATGGAGTTGATGAGTATCTAAAACAGCAGTTCCAAATGTTGTGTCATTAGACACATCTTCAGGTGAAACAGCTGCTCCACATCACCAGATCTGCCCTGGCTCTGGGAATGTCTTCTGGAGTCTCCAAATTTCCTTTAAAAAAACAGAAATCAGTCTTCAGCTACACCTCAAACCCTCAGAAAGTTGGGAAGGAAACTTCCAGAGTGGGTGGAGGTCTCTGTGCTGCAGATCTGAGGCCTAACTGACATCCTCAGGCTGAAAACAAGAGTAAAAGGAGTTTGCTGTGCCTGGTCGAGACATATCTGAAAGCAAAAGACAGTAAAGAAACATCTGAAGCTCAGAATAAGAGCACTGAGATCCACAAATTCTCTAGATGGGATTGGATTCAGTCTCAGCTCCCAAAATGCCCTTTGGTGGAAACAATTTGAATCAAACATGAGAAATTTTTGGGTATCTTTTCAATCAAATTTCACATCTTAACTCTGAAAACTTCTATTCCATAGAAAAACAAGCTCTCAAATTTTGTTCTGAAGAGTATCAAATTTCACATCTTAACTCTGAAAATTTCTATTCCATAGAAAAACAAGCTCCCAAATTTTGTTCTGAAGAGTTTCCACTTAAAATCTGAATAAAATCCCACTTTGCATAATTTCTGTAGGAGAACTCATTATTTCCCAGCTCATTAAGCTCTTAATTTTGAGGGGCACAGCAGCAAGTTATGATGTCAGAAACAACACACACACTGCCTTAAATCACACAACCACTGAGAAAAACACCTGAAGGCCAAAAATGGGGAATATAAGGACTCCAAAGTTGTGTTCTGTGGCTCAGCACAGCACATTGCAGTCAGAGATTGCATTGGCTTTCTGGGCTGAGCTCCCACTGCAGCTCATGGGGAACTTCTCACATGAAGTCTTCAGAAAACAAGAGAAAAACCTGCTTGGTAGTGAAAATATAATTTTATTTAACAATAGCTGCCAGCAGTACACTGGTATATCTGTAAAAGATGTTCCAGAGAGTGAAAGACATAAGCAAACTACAATAAATTGTATCAACTCTTCAAGTATTTCTGCAAACAATGCTCCAATTCTTGATGTCCTGTCTGGGGAAGAGTCTCAACATCCTAATTCTGCTCCCACCTCCTCCAGAAACAAAAAAAGGGAAGAGTTGGTGGCACAGGTTCTGAGGCAGATGAACTATTTTTCACTTGGGAGAGATTCTTCTTCTCAAAGTATTAATTGGATGTGCTCAGAGAGTTCTGAGTGGCAAAGAGTACAACAGAGTTGACTGTACTTGGCCACTTTTTGTTCTGCACTGAGATAGGCATCAGTGGGTTTGGCTCAAGCATCTTCCATTTATTCATGTCTCTGTTCCTTTGATACCAAATGCTAATTTGCTCCTTTAGCATAAAAATTTGATTACATCTCTCTCCTTATCATGGAACTGCACACAGCTCTCAATGGGTTCAGACATGCCCAGAGCATAAAAAAAAAAAAAAGAAAAAAAAAAAAAAAAGAAAGAAAAGAAAAAAACAATTGAGTGGGAAAATGCGAATCTAAAAGCTGTGACTGTCCATGTGGGACATCCAGCAGAGAAAAAGGAGATGGACAGGAAAGCTTTGGAGTGCATGAAACTGTTCCAGAAATTCCCATGCCTCTTGCTCAACAGGCAGCTCTTCCACTGAAAGAAACTCTTCAAGAAGGAAAACTTTGTTAAGGGGGGAAAAAAAAAAAAAAAAGCCAAAAAACCAAACCTCATGCATAGAGGATAATCTGTTCTCCCACACAAAACCAGGGAGCAGATGATGGGTTTTCCCTTTGTGTTCAGGAAACACACAAGTCACCTGTTTTAATGCGAATTTCAGCACATTTCAGCTGGAGAAGAAAGTGAGTTATTCAGCATGCTAATACATGCAACCAACTTGCAAACTGGAATGCCAACTTGAAAGGATAACTGCTGCTTTTGACTCGTGGAAGGGGCTCCCAGCAGCATTTTAAATTTCAACAGGGGCAGATTAAATTGCTGTTTGATGAAATTAAAAATGCATTTGAAAAGATCAGATTGTAAACAAGTTGACAGAAGTCAAGAATTTACATAGTTATGAAAGGGCTTTTTTTTTTTTTTTTAATTACTGTGATGCTGAGGCCAGATGAAAGTGCTCTCTGCCCACACCAGACGCTGAGCCTTTCCCCACTGCTCTGAAAGGATCATCTAGGGAGGTGAGAGCTGCTCCTCTCTCTCTCCAGGACATTCTTTGGTTCTCCTGAAGCTTGGCCAGCTCTTGCCACCACAAAACTGGGCAATAGGAAGCCTAAAAGATAACAGCTCCTTCCACACAGGACAGTTAACAACCTCAGAGACTGCTAACCTGCTCTTCATTTGAATTCCACCTCTCAGGAAAGGCTCAGACTCTCCACTGTGCTGAGATAAGAAACAGCAGTTACACAAGAGCTTCCCCTTTGTTTACAAGCTTTCAGACAGAATCATTCAAATCCTGAATGAAGGAATTACGATGGTTTGAAGATTGAAATGAAAAAAAAAAAAAAAAAAAAAGCAGAGAGAGAATCTATTCTCTGTCCCAAGACAAGGAATGTGATGCTCAGCAAAAGTTGAGGATTTGTTTGCAGCAGAAATGTCCAAGGGTTTGATGCTACCTACACATCAGTGTAGAGCCAGGGTTAACTTGCTTTTTAAAAGGAGTGAGGCCTCATCCCTCTCCAACCTAGGACAACTTCCAAGGGCCATCATGATCTACTTCTCAAAGGAGAGCTAAAAACTGAACCAAGACATGTGCACAAATCACATTATTTCCTACAGTTTTGTTGCAGAGGTGAACTACCCAATGGCAAAGAGCACCAAACCAAAGGGGTTGGGTTTTTATACTCTCTCTGTCAATAAAAGTGTTGTTCCCTAATAAAAAATAAAAAAATCATTCCTTTTCCTAGCCGTCACGTTACAGCAAAGACTCAACTCCTACAGAGGATTCTTATGGCTGAGGAAGTTTATTCAGGAGGAGAACGTGACATTAGAACACAGTAGTAATTAAAAGGCTAAGGTTAAAGGTTTTTTTTTCCTAACCAGGTCATTGCAGAATTGTCTTTCTGTGCCTAAACACCCCTGCAAAAAATCAGGATAGGGATTAAGTGTATCTACAGCTGTCTTGGAAAGACATGGAACAGGATTGCTAATTGCTTTTACATTGGAATTCTAGCTCTAGGAAGGCAAGACAAGGCACCACAAGCCATGGATAAGAGTATGGATCTGGTACTTTATCTCCTCTAGGTCACACTAAAATCCGTGGGTATATAAAGTAGCAAAAGCAGGAGGCTTAGAAAAGTCAGGCTGGTTTCACAAAGCCAGTGCTTACCAAAAAAAAAAAAAAAAAATTAGTGTATAAAAGTGTTTATGTGAGCATTTCCACCTTATTGCAGAATGTTAAATATTCCAAGGACAACCGAGCAGGAATAGCACATTTTCCAGCTTCTAAAATCAGTTAAATATAAAAGTATCTTTACAAAAAAATAGGCATATAAGTCTAGCATTCTTTGGAGTTGTTTATGATGGTCTTTTTAAAAAGAACCTAACAGTTTGTGTCATGCAATCAAAATCATGATTTTTAAACAAGAAAACTATTCCCTGGTTTAGAAATAGCTGAAAATTGCCTTTAAAAAAATTGTAGTGCTATTCCTCCCTGTAAAAAGATTCTGTATAGTAGTGCAATGATTAGGAGTATGCAAAACTGCAGTCCAGGTGCACAGACTGGGATCAATTCAACGGGAAGGACTGGATTCCACACACCATTTCTTTACAAAAGTAACTCCTAGATTTCCCTTCAGTCAGGGAAAAAGAAAAAATAATAAAACCCAGCATACTATAAATTTAAGGCAAATGTTCTCTTTAAAGGTCACTTTAGCTTTCTTCAGGAAAGAAAGAGCATAAAAAAAGTTCCCATTTCAGGGCTCTCAGTGTTGATTTTGCATCACTAATCATTGCACTGCTATTCACCCCCCAAGAGTTACCAAGTAGGACACTACATTTACATGGACTTGGTTTGTGACAGAACAGATTCTTAAGTAAATATCTCCAGAAAGACTTATACAAACCCAAACTACCAAAAAAAAAAGCCACTTGCAATTCTTAAGGTGAACAGATGGCAAACATCCCATTCTGAGCATCCTGACAGTTATTCCTTCACTGCAACTCAGAACTCAATACAAATGTAGGTGTTTAAATCTTACCAAGGTCTTGAAGACACAAGTAAACACTAACTCTGAGCTGTGAGTCAAATTTTGCTGATGCTGAGGTCATTCCCATCCGAGTTGCACATTGAGTCCATTCTCAACCATTCCTGTGACTTCAGAGTTAAAAAAAGAACAAGCCAAAATTTTGCCAAATATTCTGCAAATGGCTCTTTTGGATAATCAGTTCCCTTCTCTAAGTAAATGGGATAGACAAGCAGGTACAGTTCAATGTGTCACAGTAGGACAACCGTGGATAGATTCTTCTGGAAAAGCAATAAATTCCAAAATACATAAATATTCCTTGTACCATACAGTGAGACAGAATCCTAACCCAATTCAGACACAGGGAGCACATGTTTCCAAGGAAAAGCAGGAGGGAAGGACAACCCTTCACACTGAGGAACGTGGAGTTACCCCAACCAACACAACCACTCAGTGTTCAAACCTGCTGTAGAAGGAGGTGAGGAAAAAAAAAAACCAAGGCTATAATTAGGTCTGCAAACTTTAGGTAATGACTGTACCTGGTCTATCCAGCATAACTTCGAATAACTGCAAGTTCATGCAAAAAAAAAAAAATTGCTATCTTATATGAGAAGAGCAGTCTGTTAGAAGCATCGTTACGGAATACGCAAGAAGTCAATCATCCTTTTGCAAGTGTTGATTACTTGGTGAGTCTCTTGGCTACATCACTGTAAGCTATTTCAATTTCTTTGTCTCCAGGACAGGTGTTGGTGAATTCATCCCTGCTGTAAGCATTTGTCAGGTATCTCCAGATCCCTGTCATTTCCTTGGGGATCTCGAAGTTACGATATTTTTTGGCCACCACCTAGGATGAAAGAGTTAATATTAGGAATTTATAGCCTTTGGCTTAAAGTACTTTGCTGTTCCTGAAAGTTCCTCTCTCCTGAAGTTATCCTTCCACTCAGAGTCACTTCTCAAGGCAGCAGAACTGTCCTCAGGGATACACCTGACCCACACTCCTCACTGGGTCTGGGTTTGGCCTCCCCCAAGGAAACACTTTGCACCCAGACAGAAACTGAATCTGTGGCTCCATCTGCAGTACAGAACTGACACAGATCACTGCAGACACCCAAAGGAAATCAAGCCACAGTTCCACAGGCACAGCAGCACTCCTGGGGTTAGCCCAGGCCACCTCTGGCCAGACTTCCAACCTTTTTCTTTTCATCCAATCCTTTTCTTTCACATCATGCCACTGACTTTGTTGCTAACACAGCAGTTTTCTCCACAGAGGTGAGCAGACATCCACTTCAACCAGCAAACTGCTCACATGATCTTGACCTTCCTTCTTCTACCTTGTTCTTTTAAGCACTGCAGTGTCCTGTGACCACATGGGTCAGTGCAGACAAACAGGTTTTGGCTTGTGCCACTTTATCCTCTGCTGTCCAACCTGTCCTGAGGTTCACACCTGAGGTTTAACAGCTCTAGACCCAAATCCCTTGTGAATCACCCAAATCTTACACAATTTCTATGCTGTTAATATTGTAGCTAAACTTCCATGAGACTCTACAAACAGTTGAAATGGGTTGGACTCTGGAATGTTACCAGCTAGAAGCATTTTGTCCTTCATTAGCACAACACAGGGACACACAAAGGCCTTTACCTTGACGATGTGCAGCTTGGGCAGCAGGTTACAATCTGCTAATGTCATCTCGTTGCCATCCAAGAACTTGCGTGTAGAGACTGTGACATCCTCCATGCTGTTCTCATCTATCTCGTCAGGAAGAGGAGAGTTCAGGTACTCATCCAGTTTCTGGAGGGTTTTCAAGAGGCCACGTTCTAAGGCTATAGAGGAAAGGACAGTTTTCAGAAGGAAACCAAAGCCAAGCCACGAATTCCAAGACAAATTATCGTTTCGAATATTGACACAATAATGGATGTGAAAAACAAAGCTCACATCACTAAACCAACCACCACATCATAGTGAAGGATTTGCACAAATTTTGTTGCAACAGCACTGCTGGATCTGTTTTCAGATAGACAGAAAGCTGAACATGAGCCAGCAGTGGCTCAGGGGGCCAAGAATGGCATCTTGGCCTGGATCAGGAACAGTGTGGTCAGCAGGACCAGGAGGTGATTCTGCCCCTGGACTCTGGTGAGGCCACACCTTGAATCCTGTACTCAGTTCTGGGCCCCTCAGCTCAGGAGGGACATTGAGGGGCTGGAGCAGGTCCAGAGAAGAGCAACGAGGCTGGGGAAGGGACTGGAGCACAAGTGCCATGAGCAGAGGCTGAGGGAGCTGGGGGTGTTCAGCCTGGAGAAGAGGAGGCTCAGGGGAGACCTTAGCACCCTCTGCAACTCCCTGACAGGAGGTTGGAGTCAGGTGGGGGTTGGTCTCTTCTCCCAGGACAAGAGGGCACAGACTCAAGCTCTGCCAGGGGAGGGTTAGGTTGGATATTAGGAAGAGATTTTTTACAGAGAGAGTGATCAGACATTGGAATGTGCTGCCCAGGGATGTGGTGGATTCACCATCCCTGGAGGTTTCCAAGCTGAGACTGGATGTGGCACTTAGTGCCATGGTCCAACCACAGTAGGGTTGGACTTGGTGATCTTGGAGTTCTTTTCCACCCTCATTGATTCCATGATTTTATGATTCATGGTCACTAGTAACTCTGGAATGGAGCCAGAATCCCTTTAAATATCACACACATGCAAGTTATTTAAGAGCTGGTTAATACACGAGTTTACACTAATTTAAACTACTCTAAGACTGTCCACAAGGGTTTATTTTTGGTTTAAAAAGGGGCTTATGCCAGTTTCTTAAGACTATGCCTAACTGGCTTAAACTAATGAGAATTAAGCTATGCTAAGGTTTATATTCACTCAGACCTAATCTGTTTAACGTCACATGCTCAGCAAACAGCCACAGCCAAACAGTGCCCAGGAGGTTTCTGGAATACAGCTGAAGGTTTCTGGAATATAGCACCAGAGGGCAGCACAGCCCAAAAAATCCCTGAGCATTTCTCAGATGTTTACAAATATTCTGCATCTCCATTTGAAACAGAGCAGAAAAGGCCTCCTGACCCCTTAGCTTCAGTCTTCCCTCCAAGTACACGGATGGGGAAAGATTTGTACTGAGCTATTTAAAGCTCCAACTGTGAATTCTTTATTCAGCTCTCATGTTACATCTATTGTTTTCCTTCCACACAAAGGTCTGAATCCTTTCAAGAAAGCGACAGGAACTGAGCTCAGCTCAGAACTCTGAATGGAAGTTCTCAGTCCTGGAGAGGCCAAAGAATTAAGTGTAGCAGATGAAGAGACAAAGTCTGCATGAAATTTGTCTCTGGATGTTAAAATATTTATATTTCCCTCAAGAGTTTTGAGTGGCTGTTGCCTAGAGAAGATTCCATGCCAGAGATATTTACAGACCCTTCATACCCCACTGAATTCTGACTGAACACTCACTGAAATTCTCTCTCACAGTGTTGAAATCTTTTGTCTCTGACATTAGCTTTAAACTACAGGTTGAAATCATGAGACTCCCTCAAGTGTCTATCAATGTGCAGCTCAATTTGTCAGTGAGACACTGAAAACCACAAGACAGTGAGACACCACACACAGTCCTGGCACTGTCCCCAGGGACTTACCTTCATTAGCTTCTGGTCTGGAGTTTTTGATAAATGCAGAAAATTTGGCAAATATATCCATTCCAGCAGTGATTGACTCTGGATGCTTTGGTGAGAGCTTCAGGTACCTGAACAGTAGAAAGGAGTAAATGGACAGCACATTCAGCACAATGATGCTCATCATATATTAACTAGCACAAAATGAGCCTTTTTAGAGAAGATTTTTACAGCATGGACATTTATCAATTGACCTATTTTCAGACAGATTAAAGATTTTTCAAGCAAACATTTTTCAGAGCATTGGAAAAGCCTGTTCCTGCCTCCTGAATCAGTTCCAATCACAGTGTGTGAAGCAGCCCAGGGCCACAGAGCTCTCTCCTCCAAAAAGGCAGATCCCAGACCAGTAAATAACAACAACAGAGTCAGGGATCAACCAGGTAACAAATTAAACACACTTGTCCATTCTCTTTTCAAAGATGTTTTGCCATTTAAATGAGCATCAGCTGTTCCAGAGTATTGTGGACTAGAAATCTTTCAACAAAAAAAAAAAGTGAAGTCTTGCCACAAAGATAAATCAGTTCAGTCTGTTACAGGCAGTGTCTGGATTTTGCTAGAAGACAGAACAGTTTATAGAAAGCTTGAAAACATTAAGAGAGATTCTCACTACAGTTTATTAGAGAGTCAGGACTGGTCTGTATAGCATCTACATTATTTGGACATATTGCCTGTCTCCAAAAGGAAAAGTCATTTAGTCTGAAACTTCATGATGGATGATGGGACTCCACAAACGATCATCTGAAAATAATCTTACAGAGAAAACAGTTTTTAGTATAAAGATGAGGGAGGTGGAGGGGGGAAGACATGGCAAGCAAGAACTCCAAGCTATTTTCCATGCCTTATCTTTAGTTTATTGATGCTGAACAACTTAATGAGTGCAGAAAAGCCTTTGGAGGCCACTGAACCTATCTAAGGGGACAAGTTAGCATTTTAACACTTACTTGGGTGGAGACAAAACATCTTCCAGGAACTCTTCAATCTTATTCACATCTGTTCTCACTTCCCCATTGTACGTTATGAAGGGTGGATGAGTGCCTGGAGCCAAATTTTGAAGGTCTGCTGGTTTTCTAGGGTGAAATACAAACCATCCAAGAGTAAGCAGGGATCATCCCTGACCTCAGCATCCATTGCTACAGCCACAAAAAGCCCTGCCTGAGGTTTTCACATCCTCACAGTTTTAAAAAGTTATCACCAGTTTCCCTTCTATATAGAGAGTTTATAGCTTGATTACATTTTGAATATACTTGATAACAAGGAAAAATACTTCAACCAGCTGCTTGCCCCTACCTCTGGCTATGTTTATTCTCCAGCTGATATAATGGTGACTAGCAGGGGGATATATATACACACACACCCCACACAAACATACTCTCTCTTTCCCAAGCTCTGCAGAACAGTTTATATATAGCATAATCTGCTCTCAGTGATAATCCTCCCCCCTTCACACACAACTGCTCTGGAAATAAGCAACTCTGATACAGAGCAGAGTGTCTAAACCATTTATCCTGGGCCCAGGGAATGTGGTTCTAGACAAGCTAACAGATGCTTAAATATCATGTTTAAACTTATGCTTAAGTTTCTTCTAGTGGAAAAAAAAAAAGCTATTTACAAATAAGAACAGCACACCTGGGAGAGGAATCCCCAACATTAGCAAGGGTAGGCACAAGAGAAACAGCATCAAGCTAAAACACTCAGACATTTCTAAGTCTTGAGTCAGTTTTGGCAATGCCTCTTGCTGCTCATTTCAGCTCCTTTCCCAGTAATCCTTATCAAGCTAAGCCAGTATTTTATAAGCAATTGGCTTCTCTCTCCTCTGGCTGTGCCTTGATGCTGCAGTGACAAGGACCATCACTCCAGGGATGTGTTTAGAAGCCTCTGTGTCACACACCTTCCTCACTCACCCCAACTCTTGGATGCAAAGCTCTGCATTGCCTCAGCAGCAGACTCAGATTTAAAGCTGAAGTCAATAATGAGATGTGGATCCATTACAAGCTATAAAATCCGAAGAGCTGCAGCCAATTTTTTTCCCCCCAGTAAATCACCACAGCATTAGTTAGTCCCAGACCAGTGCAGGCAGAAATACACTTACAGCACTGCTTGGCACTTCAAACTTCCCTGATGAAACAACTGATTCCAGGCCAGGCCAACTGCTCAGAGGACACAGTGACTTTTGCAAGAACCTCTCCACATTTTAAGGACAGTCTGCAATTCCCAGCTCCCTGCACCAGTACACAGGATCCAGATGAGCCACTGGACCATTCCATCTTTATCAGGCTGCCCACCACCTTTTGCTGGATCAGGACCAACAAACACCACTGATCCAGCAGAAAGTTTTGCCAAGATAAAGTTGCCCCTTTGTTACTGTTTGAACAAATCCAAACCAGACCATAACCCTTGAGCTGGGTCTGTGCCTTGTCCAACGTGGCCACATTCCTGAGCCAGCACTAGGCATCCAGGAACTGGATTTACTGAATATTGCAACTGCAGCTCAAGAAATTCTCCTGACTGTACTAGTAATAGACTAGTAACATCCACAAACAGTAGCTGAGGATGGCATGGAAAGCAGATTTTGCAGGAACAGCACTCAGACTCTAAACTGAGCACACATTACAAGTTTATCCTGCAGAAATGTTGTTTTCCATTGCTTACAAAATGAAAAACTCCTGCCAAAATGTCATGCCCTGCCCATTGCTGAGCTTTTCACAGTGCCAAAATGTACTCACACAGGTAGGAGCACTTGGCACTATGTCTAAAACTGAATGAGAAAACTGAGTTTCATACTTAAGGACATTCAACACTGGTGACACAAGTCTTATTAATACAAGAACTTAACTCTTCTCAGTTTTAAGACTTTATTTCTCACCCAGAGTTGCCATCACTCTTTTGCTTTTAGGATTTCAAGTCAGTCATTGGTTAATTCTTTAAGCAGCTTAACACTTCATTTAAATACAGCTTTGTAACTCCCAACAATTACAGGAAGTCCTTGTGGCTCCTTTCCAGTCTCACATGTTGGCTAGATAAAATTCCTCCCAAGGAATGTTACTTTACAAACAAACACAGGCAAGACCACCGGATTTGCAGTTATACTACCACAGGAAAGATTTCAGCTCAGAAACACACAAGTCTAATGAACTAACCACAAAAAGTTTTCCAAAGAACCAGAGTGCACCTCAAGGATCTCAGAGTATTTTATTAATCCACTCAGACCACCTGCACCTTTCAAGAAAAAGAAAGCAGAGATTAACATCCCACAGCCAAAACCCAAACATAACTCAGGGTTTGACTTCCAGTTTGCTCCCCTTGCCAGGAGATTCCAAACAAACCCTGGTTTACCACAGGCAAGCCACAACCTTTGGAGCAGGAGTACACAGGAGCATCCTTAAAAAAGGCTGAGACTACAAATTCCCTGAACAGCCAAGCAGGAAGGCAATTCAAAATATCCCAATCAAGTTTACTCCAGAGATAAAAGTGGAAAGCTTACCAAAAAACCAACTAAAAAACTCTTTTAGAACCACTCAAAGCAATTCCATGATAGCCTATACCTGCCCCAGAGTTAACCAGCTGATGAGGCAGGGATGTAATTAGCTATCTGGCCATCACTACCTAATTAAGTGGGCAGATCCTTTAACACCACCAGAGTTCAGGCAGAATTATTTCAGGGTTTTGCCACAAACCAGTAGAGCAATTAGCAGGTAAATTATTTCTTATAGATCTGACCAAATCCAGCCCCGAATGCAATGTGTGTTTCAGTGATTTATAAATCACACA